GATCGTCTCAAGTGTGCGCACTTCGATTTAGTTACATGTGCCTTATTTGCTCGTCATCGCGATCGCTATCGCCACCGCGGCCGCCACTGCTCTGATTTGTGCCCCGCATTATCCGACAGACCGCCATACAAATACAGACCAACGGAAAGGAGCGACGCGGTTTTTCGTGATGCACATGTCATATAACACCCCAAAAATGTAGTATCTCATTTCCGATATATTTCGCAATTGCAATGCTGCCTCGCCAGTGTTGCAGGAAGTAAAAGTAAATAAATATTTCGAATCTTTGCGATGGCAGTTCTCTTTCGCCTTTCGTCGTATAAACTAGGAACATGGAAATGCTCACGCGTTTCTCTAACCACGTGCAACACGACTTCTGCTCTCCCCTCTAAAACTGCCCAACTAATTCGGAATTCTGCACCTGTTCCGACTGCTTAGAGGTGCATTCCACCTTCCGCCCTCTCGTTCGAGGGATGAAACCCCCATTGCAAGGAACCTAGTGGGAGGTAGGGGGTAGCGCATTATGAGATTGGTCGACGCTAAATCATGCACTAACTCCTCCAATGAATATTTCATATTCAGCCGGAATATTTCATTCGCACGGGATGAACGTGCTTGGCAAGCTAAAGGAGGCTTTAGATGAGCGGAGAGAACTACCGGAAGATGGTTTTATCAATTGGTCATTAGCTCAGGACTGATATTCCCGTTCTCTATCTTTAAAGAGATAAGTTTTCAAAACGCTTGAAGAATCATCTCCTACGACAAAAGCGTTTAGTTTAGGTGAAACCTTAAATTCAATCTGCTAGGCCATGCTAGGTGCATTCTGATAATGCTGATTTTTTTAATGTTACCAACATACTCTCGGTTGAGAGAGATGATCGGCTGAGAGTTACGGAATGATTTCTTTCTAGCTTTTACTAGCAAATAACGCAAAGCAGACAGTATCTAGTAAAATGATATAACATTCATATAATTATACGTATACCGGGTATTTAGGTAACTAACACAATGCCGCTTAGAAAAATCGAAATTCGAAGTTCTTTCGGAGAGAGACGGAATAAGTGGAATTTTCCCAAAATTGTTTTGATTTTTTTCTAACTTTATTTATGCTGAGATTTGAAAATAAATACCACATTTACGTTGCCAGTTTTTCTTCTTTACAAGATGGCATAATTAGAATTTAGACGTTCTGTCTGTTGTCCTCCAGCATCAACTTTATAATTTTTTATCGACAGATTTTTACACTGATTATTAAAATGTATAAATAATACGAGTATGCCATACATTGACATTGTCAAACCGCAGTTATTTCAGAAAAATAGATTTTCCCAGGTAGGCCTTGAAATTATGAGATAGTGTTTTGTTCCGTATATCAGACCAACCCTCAAATTGAACATTCTAACAGTTTGGAAGATTAAGGAGAAGGGAAAACCGAAAAGTGAACAATGTACAGAGATGAGTCAGGTCTGGCCTACAAAACAGTGGTAAAATAACGGACAAAGTTTTGATGGCTATGATTTACATCTGCTCGTTTATAATTATTATTGTTATTTTATTACCATCAATGAATTTGTCATTTCGAGTTTAAATTTAACCATTACTTTTTTAATTTCTTATTATTGTCGCTCCAACAACAAATTCATGGTCAACTAACTTATGAAAGAAGAAATAACGAATTGAAAATTTGATTACGCCATCTTGTAGAGGAGAAAAAGCGAGAATGACAACATGTTATCAAGTTAATTTTCGATAAATCTGGGATACGAAATAAATAACTATCTGAAATAAGGCTTGGCAATGTCAATATACACATTTTTGGGATCAAAGCTAAACACTCTACTTACCTGTGCAAAAAATAAAGTTGATGCTGGAGAACAAGAGACGAAAGGTTGAAATTCTAATTACGCTATCTTGTAAAAAAAGGGGCCAATGTTAGTGTGCAATTTATTTTCAAATCTCACTACAAATAAAGTCAGGAGAAAATCTAATGATCTTGGGAGGAATCGGTTCTGTTTTTCGTCTTTGTCCGGAAGTACTTTGAATTTTGAAACTTTCTAATTTGCCCTCATTTAAGTGACTTCGCATCTCTTACCGTTTCCGAGCTCCCAATGGTGAGGGCGAATTTGAAACACACTATATGTACTTGACATTAACTAAAATTAATCATTTCATGATTAAAGTATCGTAACCTGCACTCGTCAATTACTTATCTGGTACGATTTTCATCTACATATTTTTAATACTCTTTAAGATTTCGAGAGCTTAGAAAATTTCGAAAACATCGAAAATTTTGATTATTCCGAGAATTTAGAAGGTTCTGAAGAAATTGAGAATTTTGAAAATATTGAATGAAAAATTAACCGACATTTTTGGTGGCCTTGGGAGCTTATAACTTGTAAACATCCTAGAATATGAGTGTTTAGAAATTTTGCCAAATCTACATTTTTCTATCAAGTCGTGCGAGGTCCTTCTTTATATACACGTAAATTCAGATAGAATGTGAAGACCATATAAACTTGAAATTTTCTGCAACTCCGTAGAAATGGTGAGTGATTTGTCGGCGTAAGACCACTGTGTAATATATAACAACCGCCATAACAATCGAAAGTTTAGAGTTGAGAGCGCGGTATCAAATTTTCCAACTCGAAAATTTCGTTAATTTTTTTCTCGGAATTATCAAAATTTCGATAATTTCGATAATTTTTAGATTGTTGAGAATTTATAGAAACCAGAAAGTATCCAGAATTTCGAGAACCTCGAAAAATTCGAGAATTTAGAGAATTTGAAAAATATTGAGCATTTTGAAACTATTAATTTTCGTGTCGTGCGAGGTCCACGAGCTTAAACGAAATGATAACAGTGAGAAGAGTAAAATAAAATAGATGAAAAAGCGCTCACCGTTTATTGAAAAGAAATTTCAAGTACAGCTCTGTTGTAAGTATTGTTCAAAGTTGGCTGCGATAGATTCACAGACAACATGTATGTGCTCGTCATAACCAAGCATGGGTGTAGGTTTTTAGAGAGGACTGCCTTTCCTGAATGAATACAGGAGTTTGCTAATTTCGCGCACGTAGGTCGTCAACTGTGGTCATCTCAGCTTTATAAACTGAACATTTCATTTCCCCCGGGAAAAAAATCACAAAGGATCTTTAAAAACGATCTGCATGCACTCGCGAAGGCTCGGTAGTATTTCGAAGACACTAATCGAAAGTTAAAATAATATTGGTATCTCTGAGAGTGTGCCATTTTTTTAGAACCGATGTGTAAAGGTTTGTTAACAAACGTGTCCAGCGCGTGGATTGAGAACCGAACCGTATCGTACGTGTTCATATTTTATCTGATTGAGGTGCAGAATCGATTTAGGTTCTGTTCAGATTTGACTGATTTTGCAGAGCCTAAAGGCGGGTTCTCATTAGTCAATCGTATTGATCAATAATAATGAATCTACGCCATTGAACATAGAATTGAATGGTAAATTTGATCACACTGTGCAAATCTATAGAGCAATATGGTTAAACGGATGATCACATTAGACTATTTTACTTCAGTGGCAAAAATTCATTATTATTGATCAATAAAATTGACTAATGAGAACGCTGCTTTAGGGAGTCTCAACTTTAGGAGATCTGTAAAATCCATATAGTGTGACGATACTATCAACATTAAATTTTCTGCAACTCCGTACGAATGAGGAGTTATTCACCGGCGGAAGATTCCATGTAAAATAACAACCGCCATAACAATTGAAAGTTGGGAGTCGAGAGCGCGATATCAAATTTTCCGCCGCCGCTCCCGGAAAACCGCGTCTCGCCGCACCCGATCGTGAATTCAACCCGCTGCTGCTGCAATTGTATATCATTCCGTTTTCTTTTTAGCGTTTGCCGGCAACGGTAGTCGTTGCCGGGAATTTGTGCTTATTGATAAAAACGTTACGAGAGGAATAACGTTCCACTGAATGTAAGTTATGAAAATATCATTGCCGAACGGTTATCTTTTTATTGGCTTCAGAAAATTTCCATTTGAACTTCGCTTTTTGTATTGGACCTTGTAAGTAGTATCCGATCCTATGCCTACTATCTGTATTAAAAATGGATAGTGGTATCACTGTTGGTAATGTCAAGAGCATTATTGTTAATTGTAAAGAGTCAGAAGTGTTAAAAAGAAACAACTGCTATATTCGAAAACAGACATGTAACAATTTTGTAGCTGCCTAGTATATGTAAAAGTGTGAAACAGTATCAGGCAAGACATTTTTTCTACCGAAGCAGCCGCATGGACAGAAACCTAAATACTGGGGCACCGCAGTTGCCATAATGACTTCAAGGACACTTTGCTTATCCGATTTTTGAACTACTCAAGGTTGGTATAACTCGGGAACGCATTCCCATGCAGATTGTTCCACAATCTCGATAACCTAGCCACAAAGGAGCGGACATATTGACCAGTTCTGGATGTACGAAGTTCGACACGGGTAGGATCGGGGGGCGAAATCCGAGGAGCACAGCCTGTTAACATAGTGGTAGAAGAGATCAGATCGCCGGAAGTCGATGGTGTGAAAGGGACCCGAGACTGTTCATTAGAAAAAAGTCATCGTCCAGTCTGACAACCCTGAATAACGTTGAGTATGGATGGTAGAGTCGGGGTGACAGCACCCCAAACATGTGAGCAGCATTTGAGGCTAGTTCTTAAGTAGGCCTTATACTAGTGAGAAGGTCTTGTGGAGAAAAGTACCTCTAAGCCTCTAAGATGTGAGTCGTATTGATCGTACAAGAAATGAGGTTGATGATATGTATAATCTCGAAACAATGTCGGAGGCGAGATCGACTACTATGGAACACTCGCGTTGACTTCGTGGGATGAAGAGCAGAACCCGCCAATCACAACGAATAGCATTCGTGATACTAAAAGCAACGATATGGGTCTCACTATATGATTAGATGAATTTACTCCACATTTGCGTGACGTAAGCTATGAAGTTCCCTTTGGCGTTGATAGCTGGCGCCGGAAACCATAATACCTGCCACTAATCAAGCCGTGATGTTCAAGAGACTAAAAACCTCCTGAGATATGCACCTCTTCATCACCTTTCTAAAAAACACTACGAAAAGTTGCTTGAGGCGTATTCCGCTGATTCTGACACAAACAATGTTAATTGATGTTCACTCCCCGTTCGCCATTTGAGCGTCGTCCAGTATACTTTTTGTAATAACACGTCAAGCTGACTGAATAACGAGTAGAATTCTGTGGTAGAATTTCCGATGGCTATAAAAGTAGGAGAACGTATCCCACCCGGCATTATGCTGTACGAAGACAAACCCGAACAGCAGATCATTCTAGCAGATTACGCTGTAGGAAAAAGGCTAATCATAACAGGTATGACATTCCAATTCCCAAATAACCTAGTTCAGTGTTTCCCAATGTGGGCGCTCCCGTTGTTGGCGCTGCGGACCTACGAGTTGGAAGGGAGGGAGGGTTCCGCGGAACAAAGCATAAAGTGAATTAGGTGGCCATGAATTGATTTGGAGGGAAGACGCAATCGATAGTCCCTTAATTTTCACAAGGGCATTCGCTCTCTAAAGCATTGATGCAGACGATCTGTTTTCAGCCACAGTATTTTCAAAAATTCGTTATATTTTTTTTCAAAACTATTGTCACCAAACCTTGGTTCCTGAAAATGTAAACCTACTAGGAGGAAACTAGATTTGAGGCCAAGCCCTTCATTTATCAGTCTTTGAGTACTTCTAATGCCATTATAGATAACACTAGTATCTTTCAGATCTCTCATTGGATATCGGAATACAGTATACAGGGTGTTTCAGTTTATTGTTGCATAACTTTAAGATTCGATAGAACTTTTAAAATTAATGCATAAAGTCTATATAAACATGGGTCGAAAAATGCGTGGCTTCCGAAATACAGGGTGTTTAAATTTACTTTCTAAAATAGTTTTTTTTAAATATTTCGAACAATATTTGATGTATAATAGTGAAAATTGGTACACAAGGGTTTTTTGGTACGTCAAAATGAACCATGGGCATAGTTTTACTGTAGCCGCTAGAGGGCGCTCTCTACTGTACCTGTAGTGTATTAAAATGACCGAAAATTTTTTCTTAGTGCAATTATTTGCTTTTTGGATAAAAAAACTGATTCTCCGCACTTTTCAACATAAGAAAGCTCTCTTGTGAATTTTCGTTATAGTTAGCCGTTTTTGAGATATTTCGATTTTTAAGGTTCGATGCATTTTTAATTATTTATGATAAAATAACGTTAAAAAGTCAGTATCTCGATAATTTTTAGTAGTGCCTGCAAATATTTTTGAAATTGAAAGCAGAATAAGGTTAAACGTCAATTAGTTGACAGTAAGTTTTGTTGTCTGTTGAAACCTGAAACGCTTTTTTTGCAATTGTGAATGCACGAGATTTAGTTTCTTTTACCTGTTTTTTTGTACGTTTTATAAAAATGCCATTTTTATTCTCCAATCAAGAGTTAGCGGATATTCATTTTGTGTATGGTTTTGTAAATGGAAACGCAGCAGAAGCAGCCAGAGAATACGCACGAAGATTTCCAAACAGACGACATCCAACTCGCTCAGTATTTGTAAAAGTGCATCGCCAAATAATTGAAAATGGTTTTGGAAATCTACAAAGTAATCAAAACATAAATGTTCGTCAGCGCAGATTTACCCGTATGATTCTGCGTGAGTTTGATAGAGATCCGACCACAAGTGTTAGGAGAGTTTCTGGTGCCTTGGGAATTTCAGCAAGCCATGTTCACCGTGTTCTTAGAAATGACCATAGACGTCCTTACCATTTGCAACCTGTGCAAGAACTACAGCCAGGGGACGGAGAACGAAGAATCACATTTTGTCAGTGGATTCTTGATAGAACTGATAATAATAGGGAGTTTTTAAGTAACGTTTTATGGCCGATGAGTCATGCTTCACTAGACGTGGAGTGGTAAATTTTCATAATCAACATATTTGGTCGCATGAAAGTCCGCATGCTGTTCGGGAAAAAAAATTTCAGCACGAATTTAGTGTGAACGTGTGGATTGGTATCTACCGTAATCGACTATTTGGACTCTACCTTTTGCCTGCAAGGTTAAATGCTGCGACCTTCTTGGAATTTTTAAAGGCTGAAGATGCAAATATGTGGGATGATGTTATGTTAGATTTAAGAAGATTGGCCTGGTTCCAGCTTGATGGTTGTCCAGCTCATTATTCGAGAATAGTTAGAAACTGGCTGGACGAAAATTATCCAGAAAGATGGATCGGCCGTGGAGGACCAGTCGCCTGGCCTCCACAATCCGCTGACCTAAATCCATTAGATTTCTTTGTGTGGGGATTTCTAAAAGAAAAATTGTACCAGACTCCCGTAACCACAAGAGATATGGCTAATAGGCAGAATCGGGAATGTATGTGATGAAATAAGGCCTTATTTGAATAATGCTATACCACGTTCGATCATTCGTAGATGTGAATTGTGTATTGAACAATTGGGTTTACATTTCGAGCAACTACTTTAGATTTTGTATGTTTGTCCTAACTATCCAATAGCATTTTAGTTGTAAATAATTAATTTAATTTGTTAGAAATAATATTGGAAAATTAAACAAATTAATATTGTTTTTTTGTGTTTATTTGGAGTTAGGAATTATTGCTCTGTTTAAAAACACAATCTAAACGATCATCTTAATTACTTGTAATGCCCAAATCGAAAATGAAAAAAAATATTATTTTCCCATAAATAATTAAAAATGCATCGAACCTTAAAAATCGAAATATCTCAAAAACGGCCAACTATAACGAAAACTCACGGGATCGCTTTTTTATGTTGAAAAGTGCGAAGAATCATTTTTTTTTATTCAAAAAGCAAAAAATTGTACTAAGAAAAAAATGTCGGTCATTTTAATACACTACATGTACAGTAGAGAGCGCCCTCTAGCGGCTACAGTAAAACTATGGTTTGTTTTGTCGTACCAAAAAACCCTTGTATACCAATTTTCACTGTTATACATCAAATATTGTTCGAAATATTAAAAAAACTATTTTAAAAAGTAAATTTAAACAGCCTGTATTTCGGAAGCCACGCATTTTTCGACCCATGTTTATATAGACTTTATGCATTAATTTTAAAAGTTCTATCGAATCTTAAAGTTATGAAACAATAAACTGAAACACCCTGTATAGTTGACAATCTTCAGATAGAATATGTTAATCTGAGGTTCAATCTAACCACACAGGTATTCCTGGAGCTTTCACTCCTGTGTGCTCAAGACAACACTTGCCACAGTATATCGAGAAAGCCGATGAGCTGAAGTCCAAAAAGGGGATCAACGATATCATCTGCATCACTGTCAATGATCCCTTTGTGACGTCGGCGTGGTGTGATGATCTTGGTGCCAGAGGAAGGGTAAGGTAGTGGAAGGGTTCAAAGTTCCAATTTTGAGAATTTATTTCTAAATGTGAGTTTTGGAAACTGTGAGGATTGAACTTTCTAATTAGTTCATCAAATCTTTCAGATTTTTGCTCAAGATTTTTATATCAAGATCATCGCCCATCTCAAAGTAATGCATTTGCACATTGTAAGTTGATTAACTCTCAGTCGATTCAGCAAGGTTTCACCAAAGGCAAGGGAGCACAAACGTAACTCTTCAGAACAGTTGAAGTAATTACAGGTGCACTTGGGCAACGACATCTCGTAGCAGCAGTTGCTACCGACCTCTTAAACGCCTTTGATCCTATTACTCATATATTACTCTTATTTATAAGTTTACAACCAACGAATATTATCAATGTTATAGAAAACTCATCGGCAAATACGCGGCAGAAACGAAGAACAGAGTTATAAGGATCTCTGACAGTACTTTCCATCTTTCCAATTTAAGGAAGCTTTCAGTCTTATTCATCAATAATGGCTATCCGAAGTATTTGGTTAACAGAATCTTGTTCAGCTCTCCTCCGAATATTTTGCCAATGACGAATAACAATAGTGAAAATGACAACACTGTTCGTTCCAACCAGACGCCCATGAATTCTTCAACCAATGAGAATAACAGCACTACAGTGGTTGCTCCTATTTCCAGAGTTAATTATGTTGTCTTGCCATACATCAAAGAACTAACACCAAAATTGACCAGGCCGTATAATTCCTTTAATTGTCGTTTTGCTTGTAAATCAGTGCTCACAGTCAACAGTTTGTTGTCGAAAATGAAGGATAAGGTTCAGTTGCTTGGTTCAACCAACACTGTCTATCGCATTAATTGCAACAACTGTAATTTAGTTTATATAGGCCAAACTTCGAGGTCACTGAAAGGCAGGATAACTTCACACAAAAGTGACGCCGGATTACATCCAGAGAGATGTGCTTTGGCATCTCATATTAACAACACAGGTCACTCTATGAATTATGGCAGTATTGAGGTTCTTGACAAAGAAAAAAGACTCTCAAAACGTTTATTTTTAGAAATCTCCCACATTTTCATGACATTCCGTCCCCCTCTCCACGTGTAGCGGAAGCAGGAGCTTAGAGACTGCATTCCGATTGTTTTCCTAAAATGTCTTCTCATGTTTAATAATTTTCAATATGTTCGGGTGTATTGATATTTTTAACACGTAACGAAGGTATTTGTCGTTATCAACAAGCCCAATGTCTCCGTCCTTTTGTTTTTATATTTATAACAAGTTATATCTTCTCTGCGTTCGTCTTGAAACACCTTGTGGCTGCAACCTCAACGACGAGTAAGTTGTTTGACAATTTAAATCGGTCCTGTATTCGTTGCTAGAATCACAATTGTGTTTTCAGAATCCTGATGAAGGCTCCATAGAGAATGCCGAAAGCTTTGTTTTATCGTCAAAAGAGTCAACTTAAGTCTAAGAGTTTTGCCAATTTCCAAATTAACAATTAATTGTATATATATACTCGTACATAATCCAAAGGCATCTTACGTAACCTATTCTATATAAAATATTGATTGATTCAGGTGAGGATCCTGGCAGATCCAAGCGCCGAAATGACGAAAGCACTGGGACTGGAAACTTTTTCTCAGAAGCTGGGAGGATTCAGGAGCAAGAGATACTCAATGATTGTGGATAAAGAAAAGGTGGTTCAAATCTTAGTAGATGGTGGAGATGCATCCGGTTTCGAGGCGTGTATGATAAAAAACCTCAAGTTCGAATGCAAGAAGAAGTAAATACTATAGTAAGGTATTTTGGAATACAAGTACCAACATGACTTACAAATGTTACATATTCTAAGCATCTCTGGTTTTATACAGTAAAACCAAACAAGGGCAATTGCTGACTTTCAATGCGAGGAATTGTAGTTTTAATAGCAAATAATTTTGACAAAAGTGGCATTATGTTTTTTGGATGTTCTATGACATGCACATCACGAAATACCATGTCGTCATTCATTTCCGTCGGTCTGTCTGTCTGAATTTTCACACAAGGTTACTACTACATGTATACCAAGGACGAAAATGAAAAAAAAGTAGGCACTGCATAAGCTCCGTCCTTTGACCTCTTCAGAAGCTCCTGACCATTTTCAGAAAACTTTTTGAAGGTGTTGAAAATTGAGGGTTAGGGTGGGGAAAGGCATATCTCTATTTTTTGTACCTATATCATACGCTTAGAGACCTATTAGGCGGATTTCACACATCATGAATTTCCCCGTACATTTGCCTTTAACAACAACAACAAATTTTGTTTCCAAATAACAATGTAAAGACAAAGTTGATAAAACAATAGAGAGAAAAAACTAGAATCGTGATAAATAGTCATCGAGACAATAAAGTTCTAGGTCTATGAAAGATTTGTGAACTTTTCTCTTAAAAAAGTTCATTTTTTTGCTTTTTTATATCAGGAAGAGGATAATTTTCACACTATATTCTACATTCCTTTTTGTTAAAGTGAGACGGTGAATAGGATAAACATAATTGAAATTTCTAGTTTTATAGCCCGCTGGTGGATACTTTTCAAACAAAGGCCCATTTTTTAAGACGTACAGTAAGTCCACTTGAAAAATAAATAGCAGTTGTTGATAAAATATTGCTAGATCTAAATTTTCTACGGCATGATTCTCTCAGTGACATTTTAAGCATACGTCTCAGAGTTCTTTTTGGACTACAAGAAGTCGATTTAAACAAATGCTTTGTCCATAAAAAATCATTCCATATCTTAGAATAGATTCAAAATCAGCATGGTAGAGAATTCTTAGAGTATAAAATCAAGATAATTATTTAAAACCCGCAGAGTTTAACATGTGTACACTGCTTAACTTATTTTCTGTTTTTTTATATGTTGGGACCATTTGATTCTATGTGAACTCCAAGAAAATAAAACTTCGAATGATGAGAGAAACATCTGTGACACGCATTTCTCTCTGGGTTGTCCGACATCATAGTCGCTCCCGAGGCTTACTAAACATCTATATAATTAATTTATATTATATAGATGTTTTCTAGTTCTTATTCAATTTATTGTAGCTGCTGTGTTATATTATATGTTTTAGAATCATATTCATAAACAAGGATATTTTTCTTTTGAGCAAATCAATTTATTTACGATTTATAATTGATGAGAATAAATATTAGTAATATTCTTATTATAATGGAGGGGTATGGAGTTGCCAGATGGACTCTACTATCAGTAGAGCACGGAAAAGATGTCCAAGAACTAATTGTATGGGTATGCGATTTCTTTGAATAACATGTTCGCAGCTGAATTTATCTCATATGAAACCTTACAGCACCTCATTGCAATATGCAAATTAGAGAAAATACCTAATTGTATCAAATTTTATCGAAATTTAGTCTTAATTATCGTTTCTGAGAACCACCAAGCTTATGAAATTTTATACAATCGTTGTCGGAAAATAGGAGTAATATTATAAAATGTGACTTTACAATAAGTTTGTTTGAAAAAATTAATGTAAGCAAGAATATAATTAAAAAATAGATCAGTATAAAGTAATAAATAAATTGAAATGTAAAAAAACAATAAAAAGAAGAACACAATAGAAAAAAATGGTTGTGCAATCTTGCAAACTAGAAAAGATGAAAAGAGGAAAAAAATAATGAAAAAGGATTGGTCAAACAAAAAGTTAAACAAAAAAAGAACCTAGCAAAGAAACAATATAATCTACGTAAATGCTCTCCCGATTTTATAAGTTTGAATAATGATTTAATACACAAAACAGACACTATCAAATTTTTAGAACTGCTATTGATCATAATATCAAATTTTACTGATCATGTTGACCAATTGCAAAGATTTACTTTATTATAATTACAATTAGTTACAACGTAGGAAAAAGCACAGCCTTAAGCAATTACTTTGTCTTATTTGAAAGCAGATTAAGATATGCTGTGTCTGTTCCCAAAATTGATTAAAGAAGTGCTTATTCTACAAAAACTATTAGATATATTACCAAAAGCAATTCTAGAGCTATATGGAGGCCTTTATTTTTAAATCTTAAAATAATGACTGTCGTAAGCGAAAGAGCAATTACTATTATTTTGAAAAATATATCTAAATTTGAGACACCTATTCATTCAATTGAGATACACATATGTAATCTACTTGAGCTTGATAAGGATCTGTCCAGTTGATCATCGACCTGTGCCAAGAAAAAAAAAATGTGCCCAACATAATGCTTTATGAACGGATGATAGCTTTCCGTGGGAAGTGCACAGTCAACCTACTTGATGCCACTTTTTATAGCTCTTTGGATCCGCTTAGTCGGTTCTGTGCTATATATGCATAATTATTACGACATATTATGAGAAAAATGCTCAAAAATCTTTGCATAACCACCCAACTGCGTTCCTACAACCACAACGCTGTTATGCCGGACAATTTACCTATCAAAACGTCACAAAACAAACAACACTGACGCCGTACTGAAAAGCCTGTAGCTACCGAGTATTTGATTTATTGAATAAAAGTACAAAAATCCGGTTGCTGTGACAAGTCTCAAGCGGTTTATCCAATGTACACATTTTTTGTAGATGGCGCCAGTGGGCAATCCTCGCAAGAATGTCAAGGAGGCTCTGGTCTGTGTACACATATGCTCATCCAAGCGTTCGTTGGTATTTATCTACGTTTATAGACTGCGAAAAGTAAAGTCTCTTCTGGAAAACCTTTTATGTTCAATTTAAACAAGTTACATGCAAATGTGTGAGGCTCATGTCGCCCAACATGCCAACGCCTATGTCGTTTTTTATTAGCTTTCGTCATCGCAATGGGTCTTGAAGATTAGATTCTGTCTTTGCTCTCCTCATTTATGCAAATATCCGCAGTGGCTGTTGTTCCAATCTCCTCAAAACGCTCAACTATTTCAAAGTTATACTAGGGAATTGTATAAAAGTGTCAAAAGGTCCCAAGCGATATAGTACTTGCGGGGTGGTATCATACCCCTCTCGTGCTCTTCAGTTTTCAATAATAATAATAATAATAAAATAATAATAATAAAAAGGCCTTTATTTACCTGGCGGGTATTCAACCTGGCAGCTGCTTTCTAGTACCAACCAAGGTATAAAAAATATATAAAATAAAAAAGGTACAGTTTTCTTATAGCACACCGAAAATAAACTCTTTAATTTTAATTTTGAAGGGTTGTATCTGCCGAGTTTTTGAACTAGTTGGCAGGTCATTATATTATGAAAATACCACATTGAAGTAGGATTTATTCAGAAAGATTGACCTGTATGACGGCGTATTTGGTGTATGCCCAACATAGCGTAAGTTTAAGTCGTGGTAGTGACTTCTAAAAGATAATTTGCGAACCAGATAAGTCGGATTATATACAGACTCTACTGATTGCAGATCGTTCTTCATTTGTACTCTTTAAAATCAAAAACGATATCCGAATCCTAACAGAAGCGTGGCTTTCAAACAGTTCGTTAAAATCGATCCGGTGGATTTTCGCAGCTGATGGTATCGAAACCAATGCTTTCGAGTTCAGAAACCAAGCTCATCGGAATCAACAATCATTATTACTGTGGTGTCGTATTTGCGGAAATCGGAATCAAAAGGGATCAGAAATAGAAAGGACCGAGAACGAATCTAAAGAATCGGTTCAAAAACAGGAAAAGAAATCAGAAAATCGAATGATTGAAAGGAACGATTCGGCCTAGCTCTAACTAGATGTGGCCCCACTCTTTGCAGTCTGTATACTTTGGTATTTATACGATTTTGCGATATGTTTTAATGCACTTCTTGCTATATTTATGTTCTGGAATATTGTTGATATGTAACTAATGTTCGCGTATGATATATAGATTTTATTTCTTCGAACTGATAGGTATAAGCTCATTTCTCATTAGCGTTTACAATAGATGCACACAAAAAAAAGCATTAATTATTATTTGTGAATTTATTTGACGGCTAATTAAAATTTTGTTTCAAATACTATAATATTTTTGGTTTCCTTAAATGTTTATATGAAGGTAACAAAACTGACGCGAAAGCGTTTTTATTTTGAAAACTGCTTTGCAAAATAATTTGTGTATAGCAAAATACATGATGGACACAACTTAAATTGAATAGTCTGTTTATTTGCTTCGATCAAATAATAGTAGGTTTTGTAAAACAACTCATAACATTTTACGTTCCTAAGAAGCTGATTTCTGGCGTTTAAATAAACTTTCAATGCATTGGTGATGTTGTTAACAATAAAAAATGGCTCATGGTAAAGCTGTTTCTGATGAAATAAGAAAAGTAATCATTCATTTGCATTCAAAAGGCCAAAGTGCTTCCCAAATCGCTGACAGTTCTAACAAATCGAGGTATGCAGTTCGAAATATTATTGAATTGTACAAAACAACGGGATCTGTGGCTCAAAAGCCAGAACTGGAAGTCGCTCGCGTTATTCCAATACCAACTTAAAGCGGATTATCAAGGAAAATCGGAGTGCTAATTATAACGAATTGAAAATACTATGGAATCAGGCAACCACAAAAAAAGTTTTCAAGAGCAACTTGTCTCGGAGCTGTCAAAAACCTGCGATTTAAAACTGACAAGGTAGACTTAATTGTTTTTCATTATTCGTTTTTAATTCAGTTCTTCTACTCGCAGACAAAACAGAAGCCCTTACTGACAAAAAATCAGAAGAAAAACAGAATAACACAAATTATGGTCTCCGAACCAATGGAACTCCATTATTTGGAGTGACGAAGCCAGATTTTAAGTATGCGTTGGTGATAGTAGGAGTTGTGTCATAACTAAAGAAGAAGTGTTTCAGAAAGACTGTTTTAACAAAAAGTTTCTGGCTTCTATTATGATTTGGGGGTCCACGTCAGCATGTGGAGTGGGAAACTTACACTTTGTGGAAGGTGAAAGGTATTATGAATAC